GACCACCGGAACCCCTGCTTCTTTGGCTATCTTCGCAAATCCGGATCGGGATCTCCAGACCAGCCTAGAAAGTTCTTTGTGGAATGTGTGCGAATCAATTCGATATTCGAGTGCTCTACGTCCTCCTTCGAGTATGAAACATTCACCCACTTGTAGTTTTTGCTGAACATGGCCTCGTGGCCGCCACCGGGGGCCACGCCTCTCAGATGACCATTCTTCAGATCTTCCAAGAATTCTTGTCGGCCACTGCTGCAGCCCAGGAGCTGCAAGGGTCAGATTCGGTGAGAGAATCGAACTTGTCCCTGTCATTCTTCGAAGAAAACTTGTTTCGAAAAATCAGATGGGCTGAATCTATAATATTCATCCTTATAAATCTTCACCTTCCAGAATTGTTTGAGAAATGGATTTTCGAAGAAGCTCTTATCGATACAGCACCCCAGTAAGCGTCCATCCCTCAAATAGGAAAGGCTCATCATGAAAGCGGCATCGGGAGGGATGGCGGGACCATGGAACACGGCGAGCATGGTACCACCCTTCGGCAGATTTTCATAACCATGAACTTCACACCCTGAACCAAGGCATGGAAGATTATGTGAGTGTCCAACAGTGGCCTCAGTACCTCCTCAGATAACCAGTGGGTATGACGAATTCTCACCGCACACCAAGAACTGGACTCACCGTGCATGAACCTGAAGAAATAGTATACCACGGTGAACTGGACCTTCAGGTAGAACGCTTGAGCGTCTTTATTCCCCCTGGTGATGAAAGCGAAAACTGTGCCGAATGAGAAGAAAGCCCCCCAAAACACTAGGATCAGCGTGCTTGGCAGGAAGAACAACTGAGAGCGGGAAAGGAAGGAAATCATTGATTGCATTTTCCCCTCTAGCGGGGAAATCTCGATCCATGGCGTAAGGAGACTCGCCCTGTCCCATAAAATCACGGGAACTCACGATAATTGGACGCATCCACCAGTAACTCCACAGATGCCAAACGAATAGCGGGTGAAGTATCAGTATGAGCGAGTAGACTACTATTGAGACTTTCAGGCACCAGCACCGGATGATCTGCACGATTTTAGCCGTCTGCATCGTGAAGACAAGAGCCGTCCTTTCCAGGAGCTGAAATGGTGGAGAATCCCTATTTTCAATCGGTCGGAGCTTCTCCAGCTCTGTCCGTTCGAAACATCCTTCGTCATGATGATCGTCGCGCTCGCCTTGCACTCGAGTACGGGAGAACGGAATCTTCCGGGACTTGGGAAACCCTGACGGTAGGGACTGTGTGGGACTAGTGTACTACCCGAATCTGTGCAAGCAGCTCCAAGCTCCTCGCCCGTCGATATGCAGGGTCTCTTATGAACGGATCGGACGGTTCCTCCGACATCGCCTCCGAGGT